CCCCCATACCCTCAATGTTCACATGCCATTAGTCAACCATTTTGTCAACTTTTTTATCACATAGGATGCCCGATCAACATTTGATAAGGCTACTTTTGTTATCAAACTAGTCACTTAGGATCAATTTTGTATTGAACTCAATTTTTAATTTTTTAAAAATTTTAATTATAATATTACATATCATTTTTCTAAAAATAAATTATAATGTTCAAAAATTAAAAATAAGTAATATAAATTTAAAATTTAAGTATAAACATAAATTTTAAAGTCTAAATTTAATTTAAAAATATTTTATTTTTTTCCAAATAAAACAAAAAAAGCCTAAATGGGCCGCCTAAGCCCTAGGCTATTTTTATAGGGCTTAAACAAGTTAGTCTTAGATGCTTGATTATTCCAAAAGTGCATAATTTTTTAAACTTAAACCCTTATAAAATCTAGCTTTAAACAGGCGGCACATTTTTCAGATAATTGGGCTTCTAAGCCTGGATTTTATAAGAGTTCAAGTCAAGGCCAAGTGAAGGGGTTTTAGGGCCTAAGGTTAAATTATTTAAGAGGCCTAATATGTTATTATTTATATATCTTCATATCACTTTTTCACTTTTTGATTTGCAAAATCAAATATTAAATTTTTATAATCAAGTAATTATAACATTTAACTTTCAATAAATGATATAGCTAATCCATTTAATTTATTTTGTAACATGATTGATCTTAAATAAGATTTAAGTAATTTTAATTTCAAAAGACTTTTTTCAACAGTAGCAAATGTTACTGATATTATCAATAATATTATATAAGCAATAGAAAAAATAATGACCAATTATATAAGACATATAATTAACACTAATGCTTAATGAGAAAATTAATAACCAGTTATACGAGGTATAAGTGGACTTTTTTTAGGCCAAAGGTGGTTGCCTTATTGGCCTAATATGAGCCATGAAGTTTGTTCGGGTTTTAAAAAATTAGATATTTTTTGAATAATTAGACTTCTAAGCCTCACACACATTCTTGACATGTCAGGCCACCTATTTAAGCTTGGATTTTATAAAGGTTTAAGCTTGGAAAAATTAAGAATATTTGGTATAATCAAGCTTTTAAACTCAGCTTGTTTAAGCCTCAAAATTAAAATTTAGACTTTAAAATATATGTTTATACTTTAAATTTTGAATTTATATTACTTATTTTTAATTTTTGAACATTATAATTTTTTTTAGAAAAAGAATATATTGTATTATAATGAAAAAATTATTTTAAAAAAATTTTAAAAATAAAAGAATAAAAAATCAAGTTCAAGAAAAAAGTGACCCTGAGTGACTAGTTTGAGGGGCAAGACCTTTAAATGCTAATTGGGCATCCCACATGGCAAAAAAAAAAAAAAAGCCAACAAAATGGTTGGCTTATTGGTGCCAAGATGATAGAAGTACAAGAGCTCAGGATTTCAAACATTTAGGAATAAGAATGACCCAACATTGAGTTTGGAATATTTGCAGACTTCATGTGATGAGTTTGAAGCTAAAAATTATCCTTAATTCTTTTTTTTTTTTTGTGAAACAATATACTTCAAGTATTTATGTCATCCTCTTACATTGTGTAGATACACTTTTTTAATTCTCTGTTTAAGCTATTATGCCCCATTCTAAAACTTAACTCACAAGCTCAACTTTGGGTTGGGCTTCACGCTAAGGCCCAAATTTCAAAACTTAAAAAAATTAACTACAATAAAATGGGTAAAAAACTTCAGACAAAAAGGTTTTAGACTAGTGGCCTAAAGAGCTTTGGGAGATGACATAGAGGCCCCCTTGTTAATTCAACTTAGTTCCCAAGTTTTAAATTTTAAAAATTTACAAGTTTAGTCTCTCAATTTTGTAATTTCATTGTGATGAATTTGTAACTTTTTTTTAAAATTTTAACATGATTGAATAATAAATAAATTTATTTTTTTTGTCAAAATTTGGAGTACAAGTTGCAAATTTACTCTATATGAAGTTGCAAAATTAAAAGTCAAATTTATAAATTCTTAAAGTTAATGGACTTAAAACCTAAATTGAATTAATTGATCCCCTTAAGACATCTCTATCATTCTTCCAAGAGCCTTTAGGCAAGCAAGCCATTTTTTCTAAATCTCAAGAGAGTCACTTTTTTCCATGTCCAAGTTGCTTGTTGGTGTAGAGGTCGTACGGAGATGAACAATCAAGCCTTGAAGCCTTTGAACAACATCTTTCAGTAATCTAATTGTGGGCAACGATCAGAGTAGGCGGTAGCTAATGGCTACAACTAGCGGTAGCAATCAATGGCAGATTTGCGAAAACACTGCTATAGAAAGGACTTTTAATGATAATTATTTTAAATTTTTAATGTTAATATTAAGGGAAAGTTAAAACAAGCGAAGTGGAAAGTATCCTTTCCATATCAGTTATTAATAATTGATATTAAAAATAACTGACATTGAAAGTCACAAAAAAAATAATTAATTTTAAAAAAAAAAGTAGCTTTAACAATAGTTATTAAAAAATCGTTGTTAAAAAAAACTTTTAACAATGATTATTTAAAAAAAAAATTGTTTAAAGTCACTTTCCACAACAGATTTTTATAATTATTGTCAAAAGTTTTTTAACAACGGTTTTTTAATAACTGTTGTTAAAAGTCTATTTTTTTTAAAAAAATTTATATATCTTTTATATTTGCATAGTTGTATTTTGGTATAACACTCTTGACTTAATAGTAAACTGACCATTTTGTGGATGAAAATGAAATTTTAATAATAGAAAGTTAGGTTTGTATGTTTTGTAACTACTAATTTTAGAAGAAGTTAAAGGAAGTTTACATAAGTAAGGTTAAATATATAGATTGGAGCTCAATATATTTTACTCTGAATAATAATTACACAAATTATATAAGACCGAATAATTCTGAGATGACGTTGCAGACTTTGAACACCATCGCAGCAAGAGCTCATCAAGCTTTGGTCAATCTTGGCATTTCATTTTATTTTGAAATGATTACTGCCATTTATTTAAATTAATTTTTATATATTTTTAATACTGACTCTTTTAAAGAACACCGCAGCACCAAGCGCTCATCAGTTTTTGGCATTTCATTTTATTTTGAGATGATGATATCTGTTCATTTAAATTAATTTTTATATATTTTTAATATTGTATTTATATTTATATAAATTCTAAAAAAATATGAAAGACTTGACATCAATAGTGTCTTGAAAAGGTGGAATAGCAAAGGTATAGGAATGTAGTAGGATTAGGAGTAGGAGTGAGCAAAATTAAACCAAAACCAAAAATTGAATTGAATTGGATCAAATTTTTATTATTTAATTCAGTCTATTTAGTTTTTTCAATTTGATTGGTTTCTTTTTCTTTCAAAAAAAATATTTTGGTTGATCACTTTGATTTAGTTAGTAAGATTTAAAATCAAATAGATCGAACCAACTGAATTATCATATGTATATATATAATTTATTAATTTATAAATTATATTTAGTTTATTAATTATTTGATTCTATTTTATTATTTTTCATTTTATACTTAAATTTTATACTTAAATAAAGATAAATATATAATTTGATAAGTTGAAACCCTAACCCCTCATTAAAATGGGCTACTATTACTTTACAAGCCCAATTTTACATAAAAACCTATTAAATTAATTGATTAAATCGAATTGTTAAATTTTGGTTCGGTCTTTATTTGGTTCTATTCAGTTCATATTTTTAGTGTTGTTCCATTGATCGGTACATTTTGATGCTGAACCGATCGATACTTACCTCTAATTAGGAGTTTGAAGAGTTGAGATACAAATGATACAAGAGTTAAAAAAGAGCGAGACAGTGGCCAATTGAACAGCACAAGGGAATCATTTAGGTGCTACATGAGTATAAAAATTAATCCCCAACCCCAAAAGGAAGATATTTTAATTAATTATTAATCATGCTTTTTGAGTGGCCTACTTTTCAATTATTAAATTATCCAATAATTGGATGGTAATGGGAGAAGATTCTAAGGGTTGAAATTGCATACACTTGAAGGAGGCTACCAGTGATTCACTTCTCAAGTCTCGATTGCCGTTAGGGTTTCTTTATCGTACAGGCGACTGCTCTTCAGAGCTCTCCTCTTAATGGGGGCTCCCTATCATAGGGATCCTCTTCTTCGGTGGGAGGTGGTGTTAGATGCTACTCCCCGGTGGCCGTCGAGTGAGTAGGTGTGGGTAGGTGTGTTGTGTGGGGTGGGTGTGTGCATGGATTTGTGCGTGTGTCAGAGAAGGGGATTAGCTAAACAATGTTGATGGAAGGTTTCTTGTGATAGATTTCGGGGAGGTTCGAAGCAATTTGGTATTGGGTTAGTTTTTTGGTCTTCTACTTCGGAGAGGAATGGTGGCCATATGGAGTTTCTCTAATCTTGTGATGATGGCCAACTGTTAATACTGTATTTTATTTGGATATTTTTTAAATTTAATAAAAATAATGATCAATTCAATCAAAAAAATAAAAATATAAAAATAAAATTTAATTCTTTTTATGATTATATTTTTAAAATTAAAAAAAATCTTTAACTAATAGGTTTAATTTTATTTTAACCTAGATAATCTTTTATTACTTAAGATTTTATTTCTTTTAGTTCATTAAAAAATAAACAAAAAAATATAAAAATAAAATTTAATTTTTTTTAGGATTATATTTTTTTAAAAAATAATCTAACAAAATTAAAAAAAATCTTGCTTAAATCTTTTAAAATCTCTTTCAAATTATCTCAACCATTAAAAGATATTGGGAATCAATTTTTTTTTCAGACTCAAATTTTTTAAATTTCTTTCCTTAAATCTTGTTGTTTTTCATTTAAAAAATAATAATATATTTGTTAATTTAATTTCTAAAATTAATTAAAAAAGAAAACATAATAAGAATTAAAAATAAAAAAATTTAAAAATAATAATATAAGGGTCGGATGTCATAGCCCTAAAAGGGCTTTCCTTCTGAATGCTAAACTCATGGGTGAAGAGAAGCAAAGAGCATTTTCACCCTCAGCCCCAAAACTCGGCCGCACGCAACAGAGAAAGCAAGAAAAGTAAAAGTGAAAAAAAAAAAAAAGGGAAAAGCATTCAGGAGATCAGATGTGTGTGTAGCAGAAAAAGAGAGAGCAGAGTAGCAAGCGTAGACTGGAAGACCAGAGGCGCACATGAAGAGCTAGAAGCAAAGAGCAGAAGGAAAAGATACGAAGGCAGAGCCAAAGCTTTGACCACACAGCAAAAAAAATGCAGAAGAATGCCAGAAGTAGAGAAGACTGGATGAGAGGAAGGAAACATGTGCAGAAAAGAGCAGAGCAAACTTTCGATTACACGCATTTGAATCTCACACACAAGGTAATTTGCTTTCTTTTTCTTTCTTTTGGTCTTCAATATAAAGGAGAGCGAGAAAGAGACTGAAAAGGAGAAGGCTAAATCTGGGAGAGGACAAAGGACGAGAGAAATTTCTAGAAAAATGAGTGAAATTTAGAAATTTTTTGAGAAAAGGAACCGAAAAAATATAAAGGATTTTCTGGAAAAAAAGTCAAGGGGATTTTTAGGGAAGGAGGACGAAAGAAATTTTTGAAAAAAAAAAAAAAACAGAGAGCTTAGACCGAGAGTTTGAGAGGGGAAGAGAAAAGGAAATCTGGGTTCAAGAGAAACAGGGAATTGAGAGAATAGAGAGCTTGAGAAAGTTTGAAGGAGTTGGAAGGAAATCCAGAGGTTGGAGATAATCTGAGTTCATTGAGTGTGATCCAGGCAGGAACAGAGCGGCAAATTTAGGATATCAAGAGGAGGAAGAGGCACTGCTCAGATTTCCTAATCTGCTTGCTTTTGGAATGTTTTACAGTTGATTTCAGTTTTTCATTTCCAAACAAATGTTATGTTTAAATATCTCTAAACTTTGATCAGTGTTGGGGACCATTAAAAATTTCTAAACAAGAGGTTGACATATGCCTGTTTGATCGTTTAGATGCTTGCACTTTGTTAGAATTCTTGGATATGGAATTTGGCTTTGTTTGGTGTTTCTGGAAGCATTCTTGTGTATGAACACTGCAAAAATTTTACATATGTTCTTGTATGGCTTGATGGACATGATCGTGTTTCTTTAGGCCATTCAAAGATTGTTGTTGTTTCTATTCTGATGTGGTGTATATTCTTTGATGTAGATGAATAAGCTTGCTTGTCCCTTATTTTTTGGTTCTTAAATGAAAATTAATGTGATTGTTGTTTTTTTCAAAAAAAAAAAAAATGTGTGAAGAAGAAGGATAAGAAGATTGCAAATAAAAATTTTTGTTTGCTATTATAACTAGCCTAATTTGATTTTAGGTATAATCTCATTATAATTTTATCTCAAATAATGAAAGAATTAGTGCACTTGTTAGAGAGGGTTTTTTGAATTGGACTTTAAATATATTTTTAGCATGAAAGGGCATGTGGATAGGTGATGGTTTGGTTTTGATCATTATACCAATAGAAGCCCTTTATCTATTTGTAATGTTTATTCTCTATCTTCTTTATTTATTTGTGTGCGCATTATGTCATCACTGGAAGGGAGTTTCTTTTTTGATGAATTTTTGAATTTTGTAATTGAAAACTAATAAAAATAAGAGAGTATATATTTGTTTATTATTTATTTATTGTGTGAGATTTTGAAAATTTTAGCAGGTATTTAAAATGATCTCATACTGTGTAAATCAATAAGATTTCACAGATTTGAAGATCCAATTGGTACATATTAATATGGGTTCCAAGGGCCTAATAAAATATTAACTCTTTTTTTATAATTTAAATATCATGTGAGATTTCAAAAATTTTCATTGAGAATTAAATTAATCACATCATCATGTGGGATAATAAGTTTTCGCAGATATCGTGATTCTCAATTTATATGGTAAATAAATAAATAAATTTTTGTAAATAAAATAATAAACATTTTTTATAATATTAATTAATTAAATTTATAAATTTAAATTATAATTATGTTGTCTAATTACATCTTTTGGTCATGTGAAGTTTTTGAAACTCCGCAGACCTTTAGGATAATCATACTACTGTGTGAGTCAATAAGGCTTCGTAGGTCTAACGATTAATATTTTTATATTTAAAAATATATGTTGTATAATTATGCATTAAAATATATTTAAAGTGAATAATTTTTAATCCTTTTGTTGTGTGAGACTTTGAATTTCTATAGATATTTAGGATAATTTCATATTGTGTAAATTAATAAGGTTTTGCAGATATGAGAGTAAAACTTATATATTAATATAGGTTCCAAAGGCCTATCATTAAAATTAACTCTCTTTTATAATTCAAATTAATAACTTATTTAAGTCCCATGTGAGATTTTAAAAATCTTCATAGAGATTTAAATTAATCACATCATTGTACAGGATAATAAGTTCTCGCAGATATGGTAATTCTTAATTTTTATAATAAATAAATGATTTTTGTAAAGAATGATATAATAAACAATTTAAAAAAAATTAATTAATCAAATTAATATATTTAAATTGCAATCACATTTATCGATTATATCTTTTAGTCATGTGAGGTTTTTGAAACTCCGTAGAATTCTAAGATAATCGTATTATCGTATAAGTCAATAAGATTTTACAGATATAATGATTAAATTTTTAAATAAATATGTAAAATATATACATACATAATAAATCTAGTAAATTAATAAAAATATATTTAAATAAATTTAATTATTTTATCGCGTGAGATTTTAGAATCTCTGTAGATATTTAGAATAATTATATTACCGTATAAGTCAATAAGGCTTTACAGTTATAATGATTAATATTTTCTGAAAAAGTGTATATATGCAAACATGCTTAAAAAAGTATTATTAATACTTAAAAATATACATAAGAATGTAAATAAATAAATTAAGTTGTTAAATTCTTTTATCATGTGAGATTTTAAAATCTTCATAGATATTTAGAACAATTTACATTATCATATGAACTAATAAGATTCTGCAGATATAATGGTTAAGTTCCCAATCATAAAACATAAAAATAATAATTTTAAATTATTTTCTTTTCTTATTTTAGAATTTAAAAATTAAGAAAATAATTAAAATTAAATTACTTTTTACAATTTAAAACATACATATCAAAATTTTAGAAATTATTTTATTTGCAAAATGGTGAATTATTTTTAATTAATTTCTTTTCAAAAAAAATAATTTTACCAATAATTTTTAAGCCCAAGTTACATAGACTTTGATCCCCATCACAGGGTACGTAGGGCTCAAAGTCTGATTTTGAGTCAAATCCTCCTTCATAAATAAATATTTTTCATTTTATTATTATCATTTTTTAAAACACATGAATAAGAAAGAGATAATTAAAATAACTTTACAACCATATTAATTTAGCACAACAAATTTCATGCAACCATTCTCATGAACACGGGTGTTGTGGGGTGCCTAACGTCTTCTCCATACTCAATCGACTTCCGAATCTATTTTTTATTTTCACAGACCATCCTTATTCTTCTTTAATTAGTTTTTCAATATTTCTCTCCTAATTTTAGTGGTGACTTCTGTTTTATCCGGTTCCCACCCTATCCGGTTCCCACCCTAAAGGTCATAATCTCTACTATTGCGCACCATCCGTGTAGTATTTTTCGGGTGCGACACCAGCAACCTTTGATAGGTGCCCCCAAGACTGTGAAAGTACGATTCGAAGGAGCTTGTGGCAATGGATATTTAGGAAATAGAGTTAGTCAGATTAGTAAAGCCAGGGAAGAGGCTCGATGATATTAAGGGACCCAAATCTAAGAAATTGGTGAGGCATGTCCCTAAATTAATTAAAGAACAACTAGCGTTCTTACCCATTCAGGTGTTTCAATCTTATATACAAGTTACCTTTTATGAATCTAGTTTTATACTGCTCTCTGTTGGAATGATCTGATATCTGATGAAGGAAGACATGCTTTGCTTTTGGTTGTTCTTCTCTGCGCTGCATTCAGCAAGGATGGATTTTATTGTTAATCGTATTAATATACTTCGAGTCTTGGAGATTTATAGTTTTTTAAATCCTGCTGCTACTCTAATGGATTGGAAGCGGGATTGGAAGCTTGCTACCACATATTTACTTATATTCTGGGCTGCCAATAATTGGTGTATCAGTGTTATGAAAGCACAAACTGTGGATAGCAGAGATCAAGATGCAGCCAATAAAGGACCCAAGTTTGCTACTATTAATTTTGTTACCACTGATATGGATCTTTTGTGCTCTCTTTGGTGGTGCTTCTGATCATGTTTTTATTGTTTCTAATTGTGTTTTTTCGGTTCATTTGCCTTCGAATGGCTGTTTTAAGGTTGTTGCAATGAAGGCGTGTTCTCTCTCTCCTTTTCACAATCATGTGGAAGTCCATGATCCAATGCCTGCAGTGCTGCTCTTTTATGGGCCTTTAACGGGTGCCAGGTCTATTTGGTTGGTTCCCTGTAGTAGAATGGGAGTGCTCTACCATTGTGAATTTTAGTTTGAATTAAAAGGATTACTACACTTTTATTTTAGATTGAATAAAAAGATCATGACTTAGGTAAACATATCTCAACAAAAGAAAAAAGAGATGTACTAAGTAATCAAACACATCTCAACATGAACTAAGGTTTGACTCTTTTCCTAGACCATGACTTTGTGGGCTCTAGGATGTTCTCTTTTAGAAGGGCCTTGAACCTTTTGTTTTTTGTTTTTTCTTTTTGCTAGTTTCTTTTTTTGGCTGCTTTCATTTTGTTTCTGCTGCTTGTGTTGTTCTTGGTTGATGTACTATTGATTTTGTTTTATTTCTATTTTAGTGTTCCTTTGGCCAAAAAACAAAAAAACAAGAAGGAGGAGGAGGGTGTCAGTGAGCCAATCCTAGCCGGAGGGTGACAAATTAAATTTGTGTTGGAAATTCCTTTCCCTTTCTTTTCTAAATAAAAATATCAAAATGATCATCACGAAATGTGAAACTTGTTGACTAACCTTTTAAATTTTATTTGTTGATTTCGAGCATATTGTTACCAAGTCTTATTGAAGTTAATTTTATTGGTGCACATTTATAAATTATTCACAGCATCACTGTCAATAAGGCAGGATTGAATTTATTAAACAGCTAGTCTTTAAAATACATTAAAGATACGATTGAATTGATGTCTTGGACCCTAATTTTGATTTGATCCATCCAACAAAATCATGGTTTTACTTGATTTTTAATTCTACTTTCAATCTTATTAATCAATTTTATAAATTAATTATATACCTCATAATATAATTAATTAAATTCAATATTAATCATATTAATCAAGTTTTTTTTATAATCAGTTATACCTAACTCAAATCCAAAGAAACAATTTAACATGATAGGATGGGCAAGTTTGGGTGCGTTTGAATTTCAATTGGGTGCAATTGATTATGAAAGAAATTGAATAATGTGATTGATTTTGAATATAATTAATTAAGTTATGAGGTATATAATTAATTTATAAAATTGATTAATTAGATTGATTATAATCAAAATTGAAAAGCAGAATTGAAAATTAAATAAAACCATGGCTTTGTGAAAACATATCCAAACATTTCTATCGCATGTTAAAATCATTTATAAATCTAAAACCTTGTTTTCCAAACAAAAAATCTAAACACCCATTATACATGTCAAAATCAATTATAAACCTAAAATCACATCATAAAAAAAAAAGCTTTTGGCGGCAACTTTTAATAGCGATAACGACAATTAAAAGTTGCCACTAAAAGTAGACCTTTGACGGCAACATTGTATCGCCGCTAAGATTCGCCACCAAAAGTTGATTTTTAGCAGCAATATTTAATTATTGTCACTAAAAGTGACTTTTAGTGGTAACAAACAGTCGTTGTCAAAAGCATTTTTATAAAAAATAATTAAAAAATAAAAATAATTTTTGTAATTACTTTCAACGGCGACAAACTTTCGCCGCCAAAAGTATTTTT